TCAGTATTTTGACATGTAAGAACAGAGTTTGTCTGATCCCTGTAACCTGCATTATGAATGAGACAAACTATCCTGATGCATGCTCAATAATCCAGGTAGAAAAATCTTCAAAAGTTCAATCTGGTCCTCTGGACATTCAAAAAAACAAAAAAAAAAAGCAACAAAAAAAAAAAAATATATAGAAACGTTTCATCTTTCATCTGAATGACTTCCTCAGTCTGAGGAGCTGTTTTCAGCTCAGTCTCTTAAATAGCACCTTCTCAGAGTAGATCAACCAGTTTTGCTGCTGACAACCAAAACCAGCTGATCACATGCTCAAGAAGGACCATCAGCCTAACAATGGATCATTAGCACCTGATGGCTGTTAACTATTCACAGGGGGCTGAGTGATACTAGCAACAACAGCATTGTAAGAGGGGGACAGTTGAACACGGAGGCCTCCACTCGTTTAACGATGGACGATTTCTTTTCACAAAGATGGCCTCCTTTACTCCTCTCTCAAACCATCGTTCCTCTCTGTCCAGGACGTGAACATCTTCATCCCTGAAAGAGTGACCGCTGGCCTGGAGATGAGTGTAGACCTCAGAGTCCAGGCCTGATGATGTTGATCTTCTGTGCTGGGCCATCCTTTTGGAGCCAGGCAGAAGGAGAAATCCTACACAAGACAGGCTCTAGAGCAATGTGGATATCCTAACTGGGCCTTCCTGAAAGCAGAGAAGAAACCTAAACAGGACTCCAGTCAGCCATCAGGTGAAAAGGAGGAACCCAGACCCAGACCAGTGGTCGTTCCGTATGTTGAGGGAGTATCAGAGAAACTGAGACGTTTATTTTCTAAACATAACGTCCCAGTGGCTTTTAAACCCCAAAATACATTACGGCAAAGACTGGTTCATCCCAAAGATCCAGTCCCCCGGCACAAACAGAGTAATGTTGTGTATGCTGTTCAGTGTCAGGGGGGTGATCGGTTTTACATCAGGGAAACTAAACAGCCTCTGGCCTGAGTTAGTGGGGACGCTGTCTGCTCTGTGAAACCGAGTCCTGATGACTCCCAACTTGTGCTCTGCAATTCTCTTCTCTACAATTTAAATTCTCTAACATTTTAAATAAACAATCAATGCAGCATGGATTGTTTATTTAAAATATTACAGTATTTAAATTGTTTATTTAAGGAGGGAGATTGGGAGTAAGTGATTACAGCCTGGCACATGTCATGACAAAGTTTACTGAACTTGGACTACTGTATCCCCTACTTCACAGTTTTTCATTTATCACGGGCGGGGTGTGGTCCCTAACACCCGCAATAAATGAAGGACTACTGTATTCCTCCCCTTAAAACTTTATTAACATGTTTACAGGTAACACAAACATCACAAAGACAATCAGTTCAACATGCACAATAGATATTTGTTTATTGATTCCCAGGATTTTTACAGGAAGTTGAGCATACAACGCTCAAAAAGAAAAAGCTCACAGTCTAAAGATCAGACATTATAGCCAACAATGCCTCCTTTGCCAATGCACTCTCCGAC